CTAGGGACTTGGTAGGATTAGGACATCACGGTAGCCACCCACGACGAGCCATGAAGCACCATGCAGTAGCGGAAGAAGAAGCTCGTAGCCCTTAGCAACGTGTTACCGTGGAAAATTTACACGCAGGTTACAGTCTTTTAGGAAATACATATCGTAATTTCATATAACATTGCATATTTTCATTAATTTTCTTTCTAACACATAGGAAAACCATTTAACTTGGATAAAACGTATTATTGTAGTTATAGAGAAATTACCATATTATAGAAGAAGAGCCTAGTTAATGGTATAAGTTATTAGCGTATATAGTTTATCCACTACATTTAGCGCTTCGAAAAATTCTATATAGATTTAATAAGGGGAATGAAAAATCTATTTTGTACATTTAGTCTGACATAGGGTCTCGTTGTTTCAGTTCTAGCAACAGTAAGCAGCTAAGAGCCATTACCTAACATGTCGTATTTTGGTATCGACAGAACACTACAAATAATATAAAGGTTTTATACTTTTATGAATAAAACATGGATTTGATATGGTAAAAGGCAAACATAATTGTATGATTCGTCCCTGTAGTACCAATCATCCAATGACGCAACATACCACCCTCAACCTGCACCCTCTGCGTCACACCCATCCTGTTTCCGCATACCACGTGCCCTCAACCTATATCTGTCTCCTAGGTCGTTGATCTGCAAGAGTCCTATTGTATATGCGACGATCTGCAACAAATCTAGTTCTATGCAGAGAATTTACATGTCATGTATGACTACTATTAATAAAAAAAAATTGCAATCAATTAAAATTGGGAAAATGTGTTACAAAAGTCGTTACATGCTTATGTCAATTTCACTTATTCCAAACCGAAATTCTAATATTTTGTAAAATATGGAAGTCCATTCGTATAAAATCATTAAATGCATTATAATAACGTAAAAGACATTGTATTCATTGTTTCGTTCCCTTTGTTATGTCCGTATCTTCATCTGTTATTTAATTCTGTTGTTTTTAATATGTTGCCCGCCTTTAGCATTACTCGAGTATCTATATGTACTTTGCAGAAAACACGTGATACAAAGATGGAAGGAAATACACCGGAACTACAGCAACATGAATCAAATGACAAAAGACCACAATTCGGAAATAGACTTCTCTCTAATGGTGACAATGTATTTCAACATAATGCATGGTACTAACGCATTACTGTTCGGTGTTTAATAAAAAATCGTAATACTCGTGTTATAAAATCTTAACCTATAAACTATTATCCCTAGAAATTATATTATAGATTAATAACATCAAGTTTAATTATAAAAAGCATTAATTTATTATTAATTTGTTACATAAACTTTGTAAATAAGTAATTATTATTTGAAGGGACAATGTTACATGGGATGAGGAACAACAAAAGTTAGCTCAACAAAAAGTAAATGAAAATTCAAATGTAATTTTATCAAATGAGAAAATTCAAGAATATGAACATCAGGCTGACAAATATTGGGACAAATTTTATGGAATACATGAAAATAAGTACATTGATGCATAAATCATTAACTCTATAATTACCTTAAACAGTTCACATAAAAAGTAGCTTTACTTTTCATGTTGCAGATTTTTCAAAGATAGACATTGGTTGTTTACAGAATTTCCAGAATTAGCTTCTTCTGCTGTCAAACAAAACATTACACAGCCTTTGAGATTTGTAACTGAAAACACAAATGATGATAAGAAAGAAACTCATATAAAAATTCTTGATTTACCTAGTAATAATGGAAGTAAAATTTTAGAAATTGGTTGTGGAGTAGGAAACACAGTGTTTCCAATACTTTTATATAATACGGACCCAAATTTATTTGTATATTGCTGTGACTTTTCTGCAAAAGCAATAGACATATTGAAGCAGAATCCTGCTTATGACATATCCAGGTATAAAGTTTTATTACATCTCCAGGTAGTACTTTAAAATAACATCAGTTAAGACATTATTTATATTTATTTTAAAGGTGTAAAGCATTTGTTCTTGATGTAACACAAGAATCATGGGAAACACCTTTTGAACTTGAAAGTTTGGATATTATTGTGCTGATATTTGTTCTATCAGCTATACACCCTGAGAAGTAAATATTTTGCTCAACAAATATATATTAATTATACATATGTAGCTAAATGGAAGGTAACAATATAATAATAATAATATAATACATTTTATTTATAGAATGAAGCATGTTATACAACAGGTGCACAAATATTTAAAACCAGGTGGAATAGTTTTATTTCGGGACTATGGACGATATGATTTAGCACAACTAAGATTCAAAAAAGGTAGTTGTCTTGCAGAAAATTTTTATGCTCGAGGAGATGGAACTAGAGTTTATTTTTTTACTCAAGGTACTTTATTTTATAAATTTTTTACACTTGGGTTATAAAAGATATTTTGTTTGAAATATTAAAGTCAAAACATTTATTTACAGATGAAGTTAGGGAATTATTTACAGATTGTGGCTTTATGGAAGAACAAAACCTTGTAGATAGGAGGTTACAAGTTAACAGAGGAAAGCAACTTAAAATGTACAGAGTATGGATTCAAAGCAAATATAGAAAGTAAAACAAGATTTGCATTATAATCACTATATTACATTTTTTCTATTGTACTGCCATAAACTTGTAAGAACAGTTATATGAAATAAATAATATTAGTATTACATATAACTTGTGATGTTCCAATATGTTGTTTAATCAAAAACCAGTCACAATGTTTATAACGATTCGTATAGTATATTTATGTTAATGGAACATAATCACAGTAATGACATTATCGTTGAAAAACAAAGAAAAAATTTTCATTGGTAACACTGCTATACTGTCTGGCACATAAAAATGGCGGTGACCATTATCGTTCTCGTTTAAAGGGAAACAAGTCGTTTTTATATTTTGGCACTAAATCTTTCATCTTAAATCGATAAAAAATAAAGCAATATGGGAAATGCTGACACAAAATTAAATTTTCGAAAAGCGGTCGTTCAACTGACATCGAAAACACAGGTGAAAACTGTTGTTTATTATTTCGTTCAGCAGCATATGATATGTTTGACGTTTCAATGCACCGAAACATATACAAATTCGTATTATCGTTTATATGGTTTTTTATTTAAATTAATCCTTATATCTTGTTTTTTATATAGTAGTTTAAATTTTACGTTTTCCGTGATTTTATAAATACCATTTAAAAAATTATGAATTAACACTTAGGTTAAAAAATACAGCGTTTTTTCTGTTTTAATTACAGGTAATCGATGCTTCAGATGATAATTTTTGGGATCAATTTTGGTCTGAAAATGTGACTAATGTACAAGATATATTTACATTAATTCCTGCACCTGAAATTCGTATATTAAGAGAAGAAGCACCTTCTAATTTAGCTACACTATGTTACAAAGCAGTGGAAAAATTAGTGAAAGCAGTTGATAATAGTTGTAGAACTCAAAGAGAACAGCAAACTGTTCTGAACTGTTGTCGCTTATTAACAAGGTTGTTACCTTATATCTTTGAGGATCCTGATTGGAAAGGATTCTTTTGGTCTAGTTTACCTGGTAAAGAAGATGAAGAAAGTGTACCATTGGCTCATTCTCTACTCAATGCACTTTGTGTAAGGATATATTTTTAAGAATAATGAAGAATGTAAAAAAGAAATAGCATCTTTATAACTTATGTTGGTATTTTAGGATTTGCTGTTTTGTCCTGATTTTACAGTAGCTGCAAACAGAAAATCTGGTCCTGTAAGCCTTTCTCCTGTATTTTGAAAACTTTGAAAACTTTAAAGTATTAATAAAATATGTTTGAAATTACTTAGGATAAAGCAGAGGAATTGCAGTCTATAGATAGCTGTGAATATATTTGGGAAGCTGGTGTAGGATTTGCACATTCACCTCCCAGATATCCAATTTTAGATTCAAATAGAACAGAATTACTAAAGTTGCTACTCACATGCTTCAGTGAAACCATGTACAATCCACCTATGGATCTTTCAGTTACTCCAAATAGATGGATCCAACATTTAACTAGTTCTGAAAACAGGTAAATCATAATGAATGTTACCATGAACATGTTGGATGTATCAATATGTAGAAATAATTTAAAGAATAATTTCATTTTGCTTGTATACAGACATGCCTTGCCTATGTTCACATCACTGTTGAATACAGTATGTGCATATGATCCTGTTGGACTTGGAGTGCCATACAATCATTTATTATTTACTGATTCATTAGAACCACTAGTTGATGTTTCATTACAAATTCTTATAGTCACACTAGACCATGACACTAGTGGTGGTGCTCCACTAGAAGAAGGAAGTGTTGGAGATAATTTATTCATTAATTATCTAAGTCGTATTCATCGCGATGAAGGTAAAACGTGCCTTTATATTTAATTATGCACATTTACAACGAATTATCGAATAAAAACATAATTTTTTTTTAATGGTCTATAGATTTTCAGTTTGTATTGAAAGGTATCACTAGATTATTAAATAATCCACTAATGCAAACATATTTGCCAAATTCGACTAAAAAAGTACACTTTCATCAAGAATTGTTAGTATTTTTTTGGAAAATGTGTGATTATAATAAGAAGTTTCTATACTATGTATTAAAAAGTTCAGATGTTCTTGAAGTATTGGTACCTATATTATATCATTTAAATGATTCACGCGCAGATCAATGTAAGTTTCTATAATCTCGAAAATTTCTAAATTCAAGCAAGTATTTCGATTATGTGTAATAATTCAATAAAATTTTACAGCTCGTGTTGGATTGATGCATATCGGTGTATTTATTTTACTTCTACTGAGTGGAGAACGTAACTTTGGCGTTAGATTAAATAAACCATACACAGCTACAGTACCTATGGATATTCCCGTTTTTACAGGTATAATAATGTTATTTTACGTTACTACAAAATAATATATAATTGGTAACTCAAAATAATATATAACTATGAAATACTTATAGGTACACATGCGGACTTGTTAGTTACTGTTTTTCACAAGATAATTACCACTGGACACCAAAGATTGCAGCCACTATTTGATTGTCTACTAACAATTCTAGTCAATGTATCTCCATACCTTAAAACCCTATCAATGGTGGCTAGTACTAAACTATTACATTTACTCGAAGCATTTAGCACTCCATGGTTCTTATTTTCTGCACCTACAAATCATCATTTAGTATTTTTTCTTCTGGAAATTTTTAATAATATCATTCAGGTAATTTTGAATACAAGGTGAATGGCAAATTTTATTTAAATAAATTTAACAAAGTTTATATATTATTAGTATCAATTTGATGGAAACAGTAATTTGGTTTATACGATAATACGCAAAAGGCAAGTGTTTCACGCATTGGCGAATTTACCAAGTGACTGTAATACAATTGCGAGGTCCCTCAGTAAAAGACAACGTCGACACATGCCCGCTAGTACGTCACACGAAAATGTTAATGAAGCAGCAATGGAAGGATTTCTCAACAGGTATTGAGAAAATGACAGAAAAAGAATCTGCACATCCATTAAGTCCTTCAGTAAGTGTTGATGTAGGAAAACCTAATCATCAAAACAATGTGGGTGGTACAGAAGATTTAATGAATTCCAATAAAAACTCTGTTATACCAGTAAGAACACAATGATATAAATAGTTACATAGTTAGGCCTTTGACACTTATAAATTATTTATATTTTGATTTATTAATTAAATAGAAGGGAGGCATTAGAGTGGCAGAACATACAAACTCTTCTAACAACATAAATCAATGGGTTCCTTCTAGTGAATGGGTTTATCAATGGAAAAGTAAACTTCCGTTGCAAACTATTATGCGATTACTTCAAGTCCTCGTACCTCAAGTTGAAAAAATATGCATTGATAAGTGAGTATAATTTATTGTCTTACTTTTTGTAATCTATTAAAAGGAAAACTATCTCTGTAGCATATATCGTACTTTATCGTATATTTTAATTGGTTTACAAATGTTTAGGGGTCTCACAGATGAAAGTGAAATTTTAAAATTTTTGCAACATGGTACTTTAGTTGGTTTGCTACCAGTACCACACCCTATTCTTATCAGGAGATACCAAGCAAATGCAGGAACTACTGCTTGGTTCAGGACGTATATGTGGGGTGTTATATACCTAAGGAATGTCGAACCACCAATTTGGTATGATACAGATGTAAAGTTATTTGAAATCCAAAGAGTTTAAACACGGTACATATTATTGAGCGAATTATTAATAGCTTTAGCACTGAAATTTCTATATTATTCTGACATAAAATATTTAGTACTCCTAACGTGGAAAAAGAAATCTCGGTGATCTCTATTTATTATAAGTTGCACCAAGTGATAACAAAGTTTACTACTTCTTTAAGTAATGAATGGCATTTTTACAAGTGTAGTCTTTCTTATAAATCTATTACACAGAGTTACAGAACTGATTTTGCAATTATTGATTATGAGAAACTATGATAATGTAACATTATAATCCTGAATTTTCACTAATAAATGTGTAAATATTTGCGATTGTGCAAGTGCCTTCACAGATATAAATGACAAATCATTAAACTGAATCAAAATCCATTTAATCAGTAATTTAGCTTTTTACATTTCTCAACTTACTTTTCTTTTATCAACTTGGATATTTTTAATAACGTAATATCGTTTAATTGTTTGTTTCTCATTATTGAATATAATATCCTAGTATATTTACTAAGAGAGAATGAACTTGTAAAATACTGGTTTTGTATGTCTGTGTAGTAGTAGTAGTTACATTTTTGAAAGACAACTTGATTATTCATGCTTTTCAATCTATGTTAAATAATTTAAATTTTCGAATGTTATCCACCCGGATAAATTATTTTACAATCTTACAAAACTAACTGTAGTATTATTTTTTGCAAAGTGAAAAATAGGATCCTATTTTATTTATGAAATACTTCAAATTCTTTTACATACAAAAGGAACAAAGCAGTTTATTTAAATATTGTAAATGCACCGATAATCTTAATTTTGCATGTTTATATAAACTTAGAATAGAAGATATATAAAATTTTTAATTCAGATTGAAAAATGAGATTCTTTTTATTTATTTTATTCAAGATTTTTTACATTTTCAAATTTCTCTAGTTTCTTATTAGAAAATGGATTTACTTAACACGTTAAACGCCCAGCCTGTTTTGCTTGCCGTTTCGTTCATGTCACATTCGGCCGTCAAGTGGGCCATGCGCGATGGGCGAACTATAAACAGAAGACGACTAACGAAAAGTATACTGTCAGTCGCCGGTGACTGACGCGGCCTGAACGGAAAAGTATAGAGTCAGCCATCGCTGACTGACATGGCGCTTAACGTGTTAATACGAGAAATAGAAATATCAGAATTTTCATAACTGTACAGTGTTTATATTTACGTTATAATAAAGGCACAGAAAATAACTATTATTTTGTTGTAGTAGATATATGTATAATTTTATTTGTTCTTTGTGCTTAAATGAAATCTTTAACACAATAATTTATTAATACATTACTTTTCATGAACATATTCTACTTTGAACATGTACAAAGTAAACAGAAAAATTATATAAAAAATTGCATTATTTAAAATTCAGAAGTTTTTACGTTTTTTATATTTCTGTACATGTACATTATATACATGTGTATTGATGCAATTACACAATTTTAGTTATGTATGTATTAAGAGGAAAATGATTTTTTTTAACGTGTAATGAAATTTTCATAATAAAATGACATTTAATCATGTTATACATACAAAACAAGCACCTACACTTAATTATTACATGATAAAGCTATATAAGTGTAGTGTAGCTTAGAAGTTTCTAAGGAGTTTGGTATACCAAATTGAAGAGATAATAAAACAAAGAAGTGAATGATACTTTTATTAATTTAAACTACACTTTCATATGCAAAAGTGTAGCTTGAAGATCATTGTTAGTTATAAGTATTAAATATAATAAAATCGTATATATTAGTTGAGTTTATGTCAGAAGCAAAAATTTGGCAACATGGAAAGGTGTACGCGTGTGTGCGCGCTCGCGCATGTATGTATGTACACACTTACCTATATTATATACAAGTGTATAATGAAATATTATAAAACACATACAATACTTAATCTATGCTTTTCTTATTAATTATTACACAATAGAATTGATGGACTT